AGGACGCGGAGGAGGCGAGCGCCAAGCCACAGGGGATGCTGCTCAGTGTGGGATCAGGGGATCTCCATCCCCTTTAGCCTCCCGCTTGCACCCCTGGCCCAGGTGCCACCAGCCCCTCCCTGGACCATGCAACATGGCCACCAAATCTGGTGTGGGTCAAACCCTCTGAAATCGCTCCTCTGTGCGTGGGTACCAGCAGCTTCTTCCAGCTGCAACACTGAAGAACCAGAGCGATTTTTTTTTCTGGGCACCAGCTGGCTGGGCGGGTGATAAGACAGGAGGCTGTGTTGATAATCCATCATTAAAACGCTCTCCCTTTGTTTTCATGCCGTGCTCAGTGCATATTTCTGAACAAGGATTAGCCCCAGTAGCTCAGCACTAACCCCAGCTGCGTGTTCCTGCACCTTGCAGTAGTTTGGCTGCAGTAGTTGCTACCCCAAGGGATTCACTGGTGTAAGGAAAGGTAAAAACTCAGCATTAGTCAGCAAGATGGTCTTGCCTTTTCCTCCTGTGATCCATGCCCACAAAGGTATTTTGATCATTAAAATGTAAAAGTAGTTCATCATTTCTCCCAGATGCCAGTAGGCTAAGGGAAAGAAGAGAGTTGAACGCCGTTAATAATGTGGGCGTATGAGACCACTTTCAAAATGGGAGGAAATGTAATTTTCTTGTTTATATTTTGTTACATTTTATTCTCTTGTACCCAGAAAGGTGAAATCTGTTCCCATCCTGCCAGCCCAGCCCGGAGCAGTCCTGCACTAGTGCTGGTGTCGGTACCCCCTTGCCGTGCTTTACCGCTGCGGTGCTGAATGAGCACTAACGCCAGCAGCACCAGCACAGCTATTCCCCTGCCCCAGGTTGCTCCCTGCTTTGGAGGGAGGGTCCCTGCCAGGCACCCTCAGCAGACCCTCTCGCAGACGCTGAAGACTCCCAGCCTCTCCTGGGATTGGGGGCTGTCACCAGGAGCCTGGCCCCTCGGGAAGGGGGCAAGGGGCTCCCCAGGGTCACAGCAGACCCTGCAGCAGCCAGCCAGGGTCTGCCCATCGTCAGTCCCCTGGAAGTGCAGCCACGAGCCTGGTGCGTGGCTCGGGGACCTGCCCCAGCTGCGGGGCACACAGCCACCAGCCCTCTGCCCGTGGCCCCGCTGCGGCAATGTCACCCTCCCCTTCAGCCAGCCTCGCAAGAGCGACGGCTCCCCGGCCTCCTGCCCACCACGAAACCCATTCCAACTTGTGCCATTGCTTTCATCAATAATTCAGCCGTAGCTAATTACTCCTTGTCTTCCAGCCTCTCATCCTCCCTGATTCCTGGGAAACAAAGACATTTCTGCATTGATAGAATTGTCTATTTTCCCCCATCCTTTCTGAGCTTTTGCTGTTCTCATTGTTTTCTTTTAATGGCTTCATCTACAGCCGCTCCAGATAGGCGAGACAGCACAGTTCTCACGCCTAAATCAGGCTGGGGGGTTCTGAGTCCCCAGCCGCAGAAATGAGCCCATTGCACAGTTGGTTATTAGCAATCTCCTTCCCAGCACGGCCGGACGACAGCACTGTCTGACTGGACAAGTCACATCCTCGCCTGCGAGGTGTGTGATTCTGCAATGCCTTTCCATTAGGAGCAGTGGGGGCAAAGCACCTGTTCGTTTTAAGATGACTTTGCTGACGGTTTGAATGCCGTTGTCTGGTGGGGCTGTTTGCACGAGGGAAGTGGAGTCGGTAAGTCAGCACTTCCCCTGTTGTGGCCCTGCGGAGCTGTGCCAGCTGCCCTGGAGCTGTTGTTTCAGACCTTAACATTTGCACCATCCCCTCGGTCTCCCCGGGGCGTCACCGTTGGAAATGCCACCCTCCTGCAGAGCTCTGTTTCTCAGCTGCCACCTTCTCAGCCCTGAGAAGCTCCATCCGCCTGCAGCGGCAGCAGCAGTGGCAGTTTCCAGGTGCCAGAGCCCTCGCCAACGGAGGGACCGTCTGCTCCGAGGGGGAGCCGAGCCAGCTGTGTGCGAGGGAATCCCGGGGGGAGGCACGCAGCAAGCCAGCACCTTTGGATCCAGGCTGGATCCCGCAGCAGAACAGCCGTGTTCAGAAGGGACCTTATTCAAGTAAATAAATCGCCAGGTTTGCTGCCTCTGGACCCAAAGCAGTTCCCGCTGGCTGCACTCAGCATCCCGGGAGCCTCGGACACCAAGGGCTGCTGCTGGGCCAGCAGCAAGAGCTGAAAGCGGGATGGAGCCTCCGTGTGCTCAGCCCCCGCAAGCCCCCGACACCCGGCAGCCTTGTGCCCTTCGCCACAGCATGGCAGGAGGAGGGGGCGGCTGCTTTGGGCAAATACCACAGCCTTCACTGCGGGGCCAGGGCAGAGCGGGCCCCAGCAAACCCCCGCAGCCCAGTGTTCCCAGTCGGAGGCTTTACAGGAAGGTAATGCAGCCCAGAGCTGCGTGCTGTGATTCATTTATTGGAACGAGCCTTGCGTTACAGAGGAGAATTGGCTTCCCTCCCACTCCAGTTTTATTTGCAAGGTATAAACACAGCAGAAATAGCAATAGATTCCTCTGACTCTTCTGCTTCTCCTTTTACTGGAAGATGAGCTCAAGCCTTGTGGCAATAATTAGCCTGCTCAGTGGTGTTAGCAGAGTGATGGAGGGGAGGCTGGTGCCGGGAGCGGAGCGGGGTTTGGGGGGGGATCCCTGCAGGCGCTGCAGTGGATAGCAAAGCTGGCCAGACGGGCTGTGCCGACGGTCCCTCTGCAATCGGGGCACCAGGACAGTCCTCCCGGGCAGTAAAGGGGGAAGCCCGACGCATTAAGTGAAGCCGTGTCTTAAAAAAAAGCATTTCTAGCTTGCCTGCGAGCGTCTAGCCCCCCCGAGGGGCACACAGCTGCCTTGAAGAGGGTCACGGGCCCTCAGGCAGCTGGGGCTGGGGCTGGGGCTGAGGCTGGGTAGCTCCTGCAGGGCAGACCCATGTGTCCTAGCCCACGGCAGGGAATACAAACCCCTCCTCAGCCACCTCCTGCACCAGGCAGGTTGAAGTGCATCACCCGGCAGTGCCCCATCCCCTGCCCTGCTCAGGGGACACCCAGAGGCACCGGGGCCAAGCGGGAGAGCTGCTGGGAGCCGGCTGCAGCCGGGGCCGGCAGCGCGGGAGGCGGGATACAGAAGTGCAGAGCAGCTGGATCCGTCCCGCAGAGGCCAGGACCACCTGAGAGCCCTGCAGGGTGCTCCCCCCTGGATTCGTCCCTCAGGGGTCTTGGGGACGGTACTGGGGCAGGTTCCCACCAGCCCCCGTGGCTCCAGTGCAGAAGCTGGGACCCCAGGTTGTGCATCATCCCCAAGCCCTGCACTCACTCAGCAGGGCAATGGCTTCTTTGGAAATGGGCAACTGCTTTAGTTTTCATTTCAAATATATCTGAGAGTCCAAACCTATTATTTTAGCTTCAGAAAAATAACACAGTTGCCATTGATTTCCAATGGGGCAGTCAGGAGCGCTAAAAGCTTTCCAGAAACTGCATTACGTTCTCGGGTACTTCTGCCTTCTCACTACAGATTTGTTTTCCAAGACAGACGGGCAGAGCAGCCCGAGCCAAGCATTTCGTTTCAGAAGGATGGCAGTGATGAGGATTAGAGTCAACATGAAAGCAGATTAAAAGAAAAATGTAGGGCAAAGATTAACCATTTGAACTCATTTTCAGGGGAAAAAAAGCCCGAAAACAACCAAATGCTGCTGCTCCTCCTCTCCTCTCAGAGCTGCTGGCGGTTTGGTGGGCTGTCATAATTAATGCAAAAGAGATTGTCTGTGAAGGTATGCAGGTTAAAGTGAACTCCAGGAAGTCCCTGAGCTCCTTCCCTCACTGCCCTTTGTGATCTGGCTTTGTAGCCCGGGGCTAGGCAGAGAGCAGGCAGAGTGCAGGCAGCGAGCAGGCAGCGTGTCAGGGCTGAGCAGGCGGGCAGGGGCTGCAGCCCTGCGACGGGCTCATCCCCGCAGGACGCTGCCCTCGCTGCCG